TACGGTCACATCACGTTAAAACACGCTTCCCGTACGATCACCGAGGTTAAGCAACGCCTAGCCTGGTCAGTACATAGATGGGTGACCGCTCGGGAATACCAGGTGTTGTAAGCTTGAATGTGTGGTTGGTGTAACGGATAATGATTTGATAATCTGAGAGCCGATTTCCAATTCCATTCGGGTTTGTTCTATTCCCTTTCACTAATAATGGATAGCAGCCCCGATTGAGGATTCAGATAGCCGAGTTCGATTACATTCCCTTATGTCCAGCTATTTACCCATAAAGAAAGTCAGTTATGTGCCATGAGTGATACACGCTTAGGTGATCATGTATCTTTCGATACATAACTGACGAGGCAGATTTTTTTCCCGCAGTAGATTGCAATTTCTTTCTGCAGTAGACCAGTTGCAAGGCTAGAGAACCCGGTCTGTTTTGCTATTTACCCATAGCTAGGGGGGCGGAGAAGAAGAGAATTCATACCTTTCCCACGGGTATTAGCACGTAAGCAATGGTTTCAACTGGAATTCGAACTCGGCTCTACGATTCCTCAATCTGAGCCGCTATCCACTACTCCACCGTTGATATGCCGCTAAACAAAAACAACCAAGCAGTTAACTCGTAAATGTTCCTTGCTAAATTTTAGGCGCGTGTTATACGCGGTTGCGTGTTATGCACTGGTAATACGGTAGTTCACAAAAAGACAGGCAGAGAAATGGAGAGAGAGAGAACGAGACTGCAGAAAAAGAACCAAAAATGAAATAGAAATTGCCAAAAATGATCGTTTTTTTAGTCGATAAAAAAACTCTCTGCATCATTAAGCTGTAAAATTAAAAATAAAAAACAAATGAATCTACAAAAACCGCATCAAACTTTTCAAGCGAATAACGAATAATTTTCCTTCGCCATTTTTTTTTTTTTTTAGCTATATTCAATTTTTTTCTTAGACGTTATTTTTTATTTGCGCTCTTTTTCCGTTGAATTTTTTTTCCTCTGGGCCCCCAAAATGTGTCTTTTATTCTTTATTCTTAAAAATATTAGTCGTTTGTCGTTTTTGACATTGGGTGGGGAGACTCAAAATAATTGGAGTTATAATTAAGACGCGAGCTATTATTTAATTGCAATATCTTGGAAAGTCTATCAAATTAGTGGTTACATGAAGACACGGGCATGCATCCTACAGACAAACTAAAATTAGAAGAGATATAGCCATAATCAGGAATTATGGATTTTACAAGCACCGAAATGAACAATGATCATAAATCTACGTCGAGATACAAGGACTACAATGTTAACAACAGAATGTTGGCCTTCATTTCTTTACTCAGACACCCACGCCAGAAACACCATTACAGATATTTGATCTACTGACTATGAATTTAGGAGATAGATAGATAGATAGATAGATAGATAGATAGATAGATAGATAATGAACATAGATAGATAGATAGATAGATAGATAGATAGATAGATAGATAGATAGATAGATAGATAGATAGATAAAAAAAACAGACATAGATAGATAGATAGATAGATAGATAGATAGATAGATAGATAGATAGATGGGACAAAAGATCATGAACTATTCAACAAGTGCCATTTGAACACGTGAAGCCGTTTTACACGCGACTGAATTTCTGAAAAAACAAAACGCAGCATAAAAAAGGAAAAAATGATATGTGCTGTTTATGATAATGGTGCCATAGATGAGTAAACTGTAAGTGTTTCGCTCGGGTCAGAGAAGAAGAAGAAGAGGAGGAGGAGGAGAAGAAGAAGAGGGGAGGAGGAGGAGAAGAAGAAGAGGGGAGGAGAAGAGGAGGGGGAAGAGAAAGAGGAGGAGTAGAAGAAGAAGAAGAAGAAGAAGAAGAAGAAGAAGAAGAAGAAGAGCGTTTACAGCTATATTAGGCAAATAGCAAAAGAAGAGAAAAGCTGACACTCATTCCCCGTCATGCTCCATCCCTCCTATACTGCCAGCAGTATCGGTGACAAAGTTCCACATCACGACCTTCTTTCCACGAATCAGTGTCCCTGTGGAACCGACTACCAAGACGATGTTTCCCCGGTCACTACAAAATCTTGGCCTGTTCAATGCGAGGATTAATCGTTATCTTCCACTCCTTTTCGCAAAAATTGCCTCTTAACGTAACCCTCTACCTCGAGTTGCTGCCGAGCCTTGTAAAGGATAAACCTTACTTTTTAAAAAAGCGTAAATTAATGCTAAATACCCATTGATCCTTGAGCCATAATCTCTAGCTGATGGACTTCGTTTATTGAATTTGACACTAGACGCTTTATTTCTCGATGAGTCAGATTTCGAGTCACATTTTGTACAAAACATGGTAACTGTCAAATTTCAGATCATCGAATAAGCGAATAAGACACACTTCAATGCAGTTAAATTACTAGATTAAAATATGTAGGTCTGTTTTTTAGGAAAATTTTTAGAATATTGGAGTTTTTGCTCCACTCAAAAAAACATGTCCTATATTTAATATTTTGACTTTGGTGTAAAAGGTAACCGAGTCTCACTTTTTGACTCTAGCGTAAACCGGGCCTATCTTTAACATTTTTGACTTTGGCGTAAAATGTACCCCAGTCTACCTTTTTGACTCTTGTGTAAACCGGGCTTATATCTAACAATTTATACTCTAAAATAAACTGAGATATTAAAATTTAGATCATTGCTCGCCGAACGAAAGAGACGCACTTAAATGCAGCTAAATTAATTGATTAAATATGTGGGGTCTGTGTTTTCGGAAAAGTTCAAAACATCGGGTCTATGTCTATTTTTTTTTTTTTACTTTAGTGTAAAACAGCCATATATCTACCCTTTTGACTCTCGTATAAAATGGGCTAACCTCTTTTCTTTAGTGAAAAACAGACCTAAATCTCTCCTTTTGTGTCAACCGGGCCTATACAGTGTAACCCGGATATATATATATATCGGGACCGGAGAAGAAGTCTCTTATATCCGGGTTTCTCTTATATCCAGGTTTGGTCTATTTTATATACATTAACACAGGCTCTAATTTGGGACCAGAGAAAATCTCTCTTATATCCGGGTTTCTCTTATATCCGGGTTTCTCTTATATCCGGGTTACACTGTTTCTAACTTTTTTACTCTAGTATAAACTAGGAGTCTCAAATTACGGATCATTGATCGACCACCGAATGAATACAAAACACTTCAATACGGTTGAATGAATTGATAAATTATGTAGGCTTGTGTTTTCGGAAAAGTTCAAAATATCGGATTTCTTGTTCGAACTGAATGCTAAAATTCACCTATATTTTCAACGCCTTTAAGACAAAGTTCAAAGTTGGCTTCAGAAATCATTCTATGTTAATCGGAGTCTTTATTGTCATACAGATTACAATTTAAAAGGATCGCCCTGTCTACATAGCATCCCCATCAAAGGGGTTAAACCAGTATCTGTCTATATTTCTGAGATGAGGTATTATGTACACTATTTACATTATTCGGACTACCTCTAAATCTCTTAACTTTGTTTTAAACATTTTTGAATATCATTTTGTGCCAGAACATTTAATCTGTTTCCCTTCATTCGTTAAAACTACTGGCTTTATAAAGGGTTCAGTTCGACATTACAACTACCTGAAGAAGGTCGGAGCGTACAACGGCCGAAACGTTCCGATAAACATGGCGACAAAGATGAGGACAAAAGTCCGAATAATGTAAATGGGGTAAAACCACTCTAGAAAATGGACTACCTTACTGCTGGATACATTTAGCTTCCGGTAAAAAAACGAACGATGTTGAACACTTGACTTAAATATAAACCTACACCCCCCCTTTCGAATGTGCAAACCAAACACATATCTGCTTCTATGACCCTATAATGGCGAGGGGCATCGGTGTTAAAATGAACAGTTGATTTAGTCACGGCAAGAAGATTAATGGAATCAGATAATGACGTGGAAACACACGGGTAGATTTAACAAAACAAGATAAGGAATTTATTTATGGATATACACGCTTGATGTTGTGTCAGTAGTTCGTTTGAGGAAAATAAATCAGACATGTTTTAAAGTCAGTAGTTTTGACGAATGAAGAGGAAATGTTCATACAACAGGTGAAATGATCTGATACAAAACGATATTAAAAATGTTTAAAACAAAGGTAAGAGATTTCGTTGCTCACAGAATGGATCTACAGTTGCATACATTAAAAAATAGAGGAAGAGAGGTTGTGGGAAATACTAAGATTTCTTGGATTGTTAAAAGATAATTCTTTGAAGTGGCTCATGTTTGGTTCCGATTATATAATTGGCGAGCAGTTTTACACTGGCAAGAACTTGAACTCTGGTCACTGCTTGTGAGGCACTGAAACGAAAAATTTCACTTGTCTTCAGACACTCATCTCTTGTTAATTTAATTTTTACCAGATATTATATCAAAAGAAAGTTCGCATAGGCTCGCCATATTCTTCTCTTTTTCTTTCTGGGCTTAACAACTATTTCTGTGAAGACAAAATGTTCATGCGTTCAAAACAATTTCACGTAGACGCGCGAATTTATTTCCACCTTTTTTCACCTCACCTGTCAATTTCTGTGAAGACAAAGTTTTCATTCATTCAAAACAATTTCACATAGACTCGTGAATTTATTTCATCCTTCTTTTCACCTCACCAGTCAATTTCTGTGAAGACAAGATCTATGTCTACCTTTTTGACTCACGTGTAAACCGGGCCTAAGTCTAAACCTTTTGACTTTAAGCTAAAACGAATCTACGCCTAACCTTTAGTACGAATCAGACCTTTGTGACACTCGTGTAAACCGGGCCTATGTCTTGACTTTAGGCTAAAACTGACCTATCACTAAACTTTGTTGCTCTAATATAAACCCAGCCTATTTTAATCTCTTTTTTTACTCTAATGTAAACCAAGCATATGTTTTTTTTTCTCTCTCTCTAGTGTAAACCGAGTCTGTGTCTACCTTTTTAACTCTAGTGTAAACTGGACCTACCTCTAACTTTTTTTTTACTCTTGTGTAAATCGGACTAATGCTTATCTTTTGATTCGGGTGTAAACCGGCCTATGTATATCTTTTTAACTCTAGAGTAACTGGATTTACTTCTAACCTTTTTCATGTTAG